GGGGACAGGGAGGGCGATTTTGGGGTGTGGGGACGGAGATTTTGGGGTGTGGGGGGACAGGGAGGGCGATTTTGAGGTGGAGGGGACAGGGAGAGCAATTCTGGGGTGTGAGAGGACGGGTGTAAAGCGGGAAGGGTTCGTACCTCGAGGAGGGGATCCAGCGCGTTCCCCCCTGCAGGTGCTGCAGCTGTCGGAGCTGCTGCAGCGCGGGATCGGCGTCCACCACGGCGGGGTCCTGCCGCTGCTCAAGGAGGTGGTGGAGATGCTCTTCAGCCAGGGGCTGGTGAAGGTGAGCGGGGAAAAACGGCACGGCCGGCTGTGGGGCACGGGGATTCCGCCCCACGGCATCGCCCCACGGCTGCCCCGCGCCCGGCACAGGTGCTGTTTGCCACCGAGACCTTCGCCATGGGGGTGAACATGCCGGCGAGGACCGTCGTCTTCGACTCCATCCGCAAACACGACGGGAACGGCTTCCGTGACCTCCTGCCCGGTGAGGGGCTGGCTGTGGGGCAGGGGGAGAGCGGGTGGGAATGCGAGGGGGAAACGGGGGGAAAGCAGAGAGGGGAAATGGGGGAAAGCGTGGTTGAGAAAATGTAGAAATAGGGGAGGAAAGAGCGAGGAGAAATGGGAGGAAAGAGGAGAAATGGAGAGAGGAGAGGTGCAGTCGTGAGGGGAATCGTGAGGGGAGGAAAAGAGCGGGAAAACGTGAGGGGAGAAAAGGGCGGGAAAACGTGAGGGGAGAAAAGGGCGGGAAAATGAGGGGAGAAAAGAGCAGAAACGTGAGGGGAGAAAAGAGCAGAAACGTGAGGGGAGAAAAGAGCAGAAACATGAGGGAAAAAGGTGAGAAGCACGAGCAGGAGAGAGCAGGAAACGCGAGGGTGGAAAGAACGGGAAACACGAGGGGAAAAGAGGTGGAAAACGAGAGAGCAAAAAGGCAGAAAATCTGAGGGAGAAAGAGCAGGAAACACGAGGGGAAAGCATCAGGAAAAGCAACGGGAATGGTGAGGGGAAGAGGGGCAGGACCCGTGAGAAGACGCCGGCGGCTCTTCGTCCCCACAGGCGAGTACACGCAGATGTCGGGGCGCGCCGGCCGCCGCGGGCTGGACGCCACCGGCACCGTCATCATTCTCTGCAAGGGAGCCGTGCCCGAGCTGTCGGATCTGCACCGCATGATGCTGGTCAGTGCCCGGCGCGTGTCCCCACGGTGTCACCGCCACGTTCCCACCGTGTTCCCACTGTGTTCCCCCCGTGTCCCCGCTGTGTCCCCACAGTGTCGCCGCCATGTTCCCACCGTGTCCCTGCTGTGTCCCCGCTGTGTCCCCACGGTGTCACTGCCATGTCCTCACCGTGTTCCCCTCGTGTCACCGCTGTGTCCCCACAGTGTCACCACCGTGTCCTCGCTGTGTTCCCCCCGTGTCCCCACTGTGTCCCCACGGTGTCACCGCCGTGTCCTCACCGTGTTCCCCTCATGTCCCTGCCGTGTCCCCACAGTGTCACCGCCGTGTCCTCACTGTGTTCCCCCCATGTCCCCGCTGTGTCCCCACGGTGTCACCACCGTGTCCTCGCTGTGTTCCCCCCGTGTCCCCGCTGTGTCCCCACGGTGTCACCGCCATGTTCCCACCGTGTTCCCACTGTGTTCCCCCCGTGTCCCCGCTGTGTCCCCACGGTGTCACCGCCATGTCCTCACCGTGTTCCCCCCGTGTCCCTGCCGTGTCACCGCCGTGTCCCCACAGTGTCGCCTCCGTGTTCCCCTCGTGTTCCCGCCATGTCCCCACTGTGTCGCTTCCATCGTGTTCCCCCCGTGTCCCCGCCATGTCCCCACAGTGTCACCACCGTGTCCTCACTGTGTTCCCCCCGTGTCCCCGCTGTGTCCCCACGGTGTCACCGCCATGTTCCCACCGTGTTCCCACTGTGTTCCCCCCGTGTCCCCGCTGTGTCCCCACGGTGTCACCACCGTGTCCTCGCTGTGTTCCCCCTGTGTCCCTGCCGTGTCACCACCGTGTCCCCACAGTGTCGCCTCCATGTTCCCCTCGTGTTCCCGCCGTGTCCCCACTGTGTTGCTTCCATCGTGTTCCCCCCGTGTCCCCGCCATGTCCCCACAGTGTCACCGCCATGTTCCCACCGTGTCACCACCGTGTCCCCACAGTGTCACCACCATGTTCCCACCATGTCACCACCGTGTCCCCGCAGTGTCACTGCTGTGTCACCTCTGTGTTCCCCCTGCGTTCCCACCGTGTCCCCACATGTCCCCGCCGTGTCCCCACCATGTCAGCCCGTATTCCCGCCACGTCCCTGGCATGTCCTCACCGTGTCCCCGCCGTGTCCCCGCCGTGTCACCGCTCCTGTCCCCCCCCCAGGGCCGGCCGTCGCCGCTGCAGTCGCGGTTCCGCCTGACGTACCCCATGATCCTGCTGCTGCTCCGCGCCCCGGCCCTGCGCCCGCACGACCTCATGCGCCGCAGCTTCGCCGAGTTCCCGCTGCGCCGCGACGCCACGGTCAGCGCCGGGGGACGGGCTGGGGGGCTCCGGGGACACCCCCGAGGGGCTGGGGGGCTCCGGGGACACCCCCAGGGGGTGGGGACACTGGGGACACCCCCGAGGGGGCTCCGGGGACACCCCTGAGGGGCTGGGGGGCTCCGGGGACACCCCCGAGGGGCTGGGGGACACCGGGGACACCCCCAAGGGTGTGGGGGACACCCCAGTGAGGGCTTGGGGGACAGTGGGGACACCTCA